TTTTTTTTTTTTTTTTGCATTCATGAGATGATCCAGCTGCAGGAAAGCAGGATATGTCACTCACCCTCTGCTTTGAATCCTTTTTGTTATTTGCGTACCACCAAACATGAGGGAAATGCGTAGGACAGAAACATAGAGAGGTGTCAGTTCAGTTTTCCATCCTCCACAGCAATGAAACTGCTTGTTGACTACTAGCTGAATTTCAGTAACATCCTCAGAAATCCCAACAGAACCTCTCCAAATCTGAAATATTTTTTTGTTTGATGTGCTTGGTAAGACACTGAAGAACAAGTTTTTGCCATTTTTATATTCACCCTTGCAGGAATCACCGGACAGGCCATACAAGAGCTTCTTAGAAACAACACATTCCTATCACGATATGCCCAAATTTCAGGCGCTTAAGATTTTATAGCACTCAGAGTCACTCTGTTGACATGTGTGTGATTAAAGAGCCATGGCAATGCCATACATGCATTTGAGCTGCAACCTATTTCCAACCTATTTCATATCTGAAGGAATAACAAAAATAAAATGCTAGCTGTCATTTTGTGAAAAAAATTACATGAAGTTTGTTAAATGTCCTACCCTTTCAGGTACTGTAGTTCCTGTTTACTTTCTCAAAAAGGGGGAAAGCAATTCTCCTAGCACAAGTATGCTCTCAGTAACTGTTAGAATACTTTCAAGAAGCAGCCCTAGACATTGCAGCATTTTCACAGCAGTGTTTCCTGGGCTTCCCTCTTGACACCACTAGGCAATGCATACTGTCATTATGAACTAAACAGCCCAGGTGCAATTCTGGTGATACCTGCCAGAGATAAGAGCTACAATAGCCCTCTTGATGTTGTTTTTATCTACTTGCTGCCCTTCATGAACAAACAGGAAGGGTGCAAGACAAGAAATGGGAGGAAGCAGGATTTTGTACATTACAGTGGAAAACAGCAAAGAAAGAAGAGATCCCAACAGCCAAGATATCCCATGGATTTGGCTAAAGTATTCTGAGGCTGCCCGCCCTACCCCAGTCTGTTCCAAGTCCATGCAGGAATAATATCCAGCCACTGTGCTTTATCTTCATGGAATCAGTGACTAACAAATTTAGAAAATGGAAACGAGCTCATGCTCTCTAAATAGAGCTGAAATACAGCGTAGGTGTAGTATACACAGAATTAACTGAACTTTCCCCAAAAAAAAGCCCAGAGGCTGCTGAACTAAGTAACTGACAGTATAAAACTGAAGTTAAGCCTCCTTTCATTTTGTGCATGCGTCTGCAGGTTGTGTTAAAGATGGAAGACTGCATAAACTTGGTACCACCTGGAGGACCAAAGGCATGCTTCCAGTGGCCAGAGCAGGGTCCACTATTGCACCATTTAAGTTCCCCACAGCCAGAGGCACCAGTGGCAAGAACTACAGCAACACTCCTACCAGCCACCCTTCCTAAACCTAACTCCTTAAGTCATGCTTCCATCAAAAACTCTTTACTTATTCATAGACTTCTCATCTTCATCTGCTTAATCAGCTGCAGGATCAGGATAACAGCTGTGTTTGGAATCACTATGATTTTACATTTCTGGAACAAAATTTTCTGTCATTTTCTGGTTCACTAAAGATTTCTAAGATCTTTTTGTTACCACATGGCCTGAGTTGAAAGTTAGAAGTGTAGGAAATATGGCGTTTCCCATAAATTGGAGATCTCTTTTTGGGCTAGCTCTGTCACTCCTAACCATTTAGTTCTACTGCCTCTGGATTTTGTCCTCGCTGATATAGTATCTGTGGCTATCTCCCTCAGGTCTCCTTACTCGCAAACACAGCCTGGCATTTACAGTTGGTTCTTTAGATATTCTTGTCTGTCTCTACATACCTTGCTCAGCACTGATCCTTCATGTGGGGATCATGACCTCATAGGGTTTTCCAGACTAGCTGAGGAATTACCATGTGTTTTAAGAAAATGCATTTGCACCTTAGCAAGAAGGTTCTTTGCTTAGCCACAGAACTAAATGGGGAGAAAACAGTATTTCTCAAGCCACCGAAATTGCTTTGAATTAAAACTGAAATTTAGCCCAGGGATGGGAACTCTGCTACATATGGAAGGAGGTAAGGGTGTTCAGGGGAGAAAGCATGTTATTGTCTTCAGCTTGCGCCTCCCAGCTTGAATTGAGACCTCAATTCAAATTTCATGTTACCTGGGACAGGTCACTCACACCATCTGTGCCCCTTGCCTGTAGAATTAATACAATTCTTCGCTAATTCCTATGCCAGGAAAGATATGAGGGCATAGGCTTTGAGGTTTGTAGGTATACAAACATCAGAGTTAACAAAAGTGTTCCCACCAAGATCAAACTTCCTTCTACCACATTTACAATATATTTGTGTCAACAGTGCATCATTTATTTTAGTGCTGTTTGTTCGTGCTTTCCCTTAAAACAGTTGTTCTTTGACATGTGCAAATGTGGCAGACTTTGTTTAACAATTGTAAAACCAATACACATGATACATAGCATTGTTGGTTTAAGGACAAGACAAATTTATTTGTAAAATTGTGTTTACTTATGGTCTGTGAGCTGATATGCCTCATGCTTCCTCTTGCTTTCCCCCTCTCAATGGCAGTGGTAGTCAAGATACTGGTTTTAATGACTGGATATGTGAATTCATAAGGAGTCCTGCACTTACTCTCTCCTGAAAGCTGATCCCTCTCACAAATGTGAGAGTAGCGCTGAAGTGCTGGGTTGAGAAACAAGGTTCCTGGGCTGTTTCCATCTACTGCATTCTCTTCTAGCTTTAAGTTGATCACAGAGTAATGCTTTTTGTAGATATTCACTCGTTTATTGGGCTTTTTTTAGTAACATTACTGCTCCAAATTCATGCTGTATTTCTCTGTTTGTTGCCTAGCACTGAAAGATACAGAAAAAACAAGGCTGATAAACTTGTGTTACTCTCATTATCCCTATGGTCATCAATGAGATGTAACCAGAAATCCCAGCTGAAGAATGACTGAGTAAAATAGTGAGGTCAATCTTCAAGAAAGTCCTCAAGATTTTTCCCTGCCTTAGGAAGAAAACAGGATACTCTGTTCATCAGCATAAGTGGAAAGAGGGCACAGAGCTGGGTAGAGCACTGATATTCTTAGAATGTTTTTAGTAAGAAATAAACCAGTGGGGAAGACAACATGAGATTTCAACAGAGCAATGTCTGTTGGAGACAACCTGTTCCCCACACAAGAAGGCACCTATCATCCTGTACACGAATGATATGAAGAAGAAACGCAACATAATATGGGCCACAAATGACCCCAGTAATCAATATATGAATGGGCTATCTACATACAGTTTGCTGCTGGCTGGTTTCAGTGCCACAGCATGTGTCAGGGTCCCCTGAGCCATTAATCATGCAAAGAGCTTCTTCACTGTCCCTAGACACTGCCCAGGCTTAGAAAGGTCACTCCTGTTGCTTTCTAAAGAAAGCTGATTGCAAGAACTTCTCTCCATACCTGGCATAGCTTGCATCCAGGAGACAGGGAGGGTTCTGCAATGGGAAAAGCTGGGCTGTCACTGCTTGTCTGAAGAGTTGAGGGAGATAACATACCCGTGCATTGGCTGGATTTTTGTTTTCGGAGTTGAGCAGCAAACACGTCGTCTGTCACTCAGCACCAAATGAGCAAGCTGACTGGGTTTTGGCTGTAACAATTTCCACAAGTTTCACTCCAGTACACTAGCATCACAAACTCCTATATGTCTGGTGAGTTTTGTTCACGTACAAGAACTGCTGCAGGGTGCCTCTCAAGGAAAATATTACCTGCAGACTCCACAACATGCAAGAAAAAAAATAAATAGCTGAGTAATACTAACAGAACTAAGACAATGCAGTTTGATGGGCCTTTTCTTCCAAACTATCATGGAATACTTGCTCCAGACTACCTTTGAGGACATGAAGGAGCCAATACCTTGAACAGGACTCCTCAGGTAACTTCCACAGCATTGTCAGCAGAAGTAAAATAGTTATTTCTCAGCACATAAAGGTTACAAAGAGCAGGTATGCAAAACTAGGACCCATCCTTACCCATCCTACAGACGTAAATTAATTAGGTCGGGCAGCATAAGAACAGGACATGGGACGGGAGAATGTGAACTCTCTCCCCATCTTCCCTGCAACAAACACAAAAGGCAGCTTTAGCCCAGGATCACGGTGCGTTACTTTGTTATCCTACCAACCCTTTTCCTCTCCTTGAACAGAAAAATGCACATGCTCTGAAATACCTCCTTTGAAACACTGACAGTATCCCAAACCACAATGATGTTGCTAAGTTGCCTTCACCCTCGAAAGGGTTATGTGGACTCTGTTGATGTCAGTAAAGAAAATCCCAATGCCTGTACTCATGGGCTGACAGGTTCTGTTAGTTTACCAGTGATTAAGGGTGAAGGGCATGAGCTAAGTGGCTGTGGTGTTAGTCATCCCATTTCAGGGCAGTGCATACATCAGCACTGCCAAATCTTACTTCATAGCGATAGCTTGATTGTGAGCAGCTTTCTCAAACCTATGAACACCCACAAGCCCTTCAGCTCTTTCTGCCATCCTGAAGAAAGACCTGGTAACCAAATAAAAAATTATTTTCCCAACCTACTGAGTTGAAAGCCAGCTAAGATGTCCATGGGAGTAGTGGTCTCTCTGTGACCTGCATTGCAATAATGCTGGCTTTCTCACAGGGACTTCCTGAGCTAGCTCTCAACTCTGGATTTTGGGCAGAAGACGTGGAATAGCCACACCAGCTTGGAGTTCAACCTCTACTCCCAAACCCACACAGTAAGATGACGCAGTTAGGCAGTCAGAGCAGTTAGGTATTACGAACGGTGCAGCACTGGTAATAAGGGGAAGACTTCTTCACCTACCAGAGCTGCACAATCTGAAATATTTGAACCAACTAGATCAAAGTTAAGCAAAAGGGGACTGTATTTGACTCCTTTGCTATCAAATCACTGTCCTAAGCACTTGGAAGGTGAGTCTGACCTGACATGTACAGCTTCTACAGAAACGGGACTGTTTCTCCCTGCCTACAAGGATTCAGGAAGAAAATATATGATGCCTATTTTTTCACAGCGGAACTGAGAGTATGGGTCTTCTACATGATGGAAAACTGAACAAGGAGGAAAGTGGTTATCTAGGACACTTTTCTAAGGGTCTACAGACGCTAGTCACTCTCCACAGAATCCCTACTTTGCCTGTAACCCTTCCAATCACCACTCCTTTTCCACAAGCATCTTCTTTCATGTTCAGTTGATGAACAAGAAAGCAGAACGGTTGTTCAAAGCTCCTGTCTGAAAACTTAGATGGTTCAAACTAAGCATGCAAATTTTCTTGTGAGTAACAACCACAAGATCTCTAATGGATCTCTCAGGGCAAGTGCTAAATGTTCCTTCCAAGCTTGAAATTCCTTTTGAAGTACTGCCCATAACTGCCTTCCAGATCTGGTGTGGCACAAAAGCCACACCTATTTCTTCAGTGCCTTTTAGAATTATATACTTCCTGTATATAATTGGCTTATTCTAATAATGTCCATTCCATGAGGTCATTTTGCACAAACCTCATTGGAGTTATTCATGAGTGTTCAGTTTGCTCCAGGACTGGTGTCATGAATTCCCTCTCTATATAAGTTCCCTGAGAAGATGAGCTTCCTACAGGCTGTCTCCTTACTGGGACCCTCAATTCTGCAAGAATGGTGAGTTCTTACATCTCATACTATAAAACATCATGGTATGTTGCTATAGATTTTAAAGGAGGTTCTACTGGATTGATCAGTACTCAGAGATCTAAGCAACTTAGAGAAAGTTTAAATTCTCTGTTTTGACAGTAAAAGTCAGATAGATAGGCACAGGCAGGTAAGAACCTTGGGTAAAATAGATCAGCATGTATATGTCAGGAGATGTCTAATAGGATTCCAGCTAAGGCTTTTCATTATAACTTGTCTGCACTCACGTGTAATGTTTGGAGATAATCTTTTTTCTGGCAGAAAGCAGCTCTGTTGTGTCTCAACCTGGAACTGGCCTTCATTTTTGTGAAAAGTCTGGGTAACCTGTGAACATTTAGATAAAAACATTATCCTAATTTTTACTCATTTGCAGTTCTGTGTGTTTTAAGCTGTCTTCTGCAAAATTAAACGCTAGTTTTTCCTCCCCTTATCTCTCAGGTGTGATTTATTACTATAAGTAACCAGTTCTACTTCATCCAAAACAAACACACATATACACGTACAATATATTCTTTGTTTATTCCTGGTCTTTCTGTCCTCTCTTACCAAGGTTTTAAAGTCATCACAGCTTATTCCACCCTAGGGTTCTTGCACTTATTTCCTGCATATCCTCAAGAAAAGCCCTTCAAACATTTCAAACTCTTATTGAAGGATAAGAGACTAGCTGAGGAATTTAAGCTGAACTTTCAGAAAAAGCTGCTGACAAAGGTCATAGAATATAGAATTATCTAGATTGCAAGGGACACTGAGAAGTCATTTGGTCCAATCTCCTGCTCAAAGCAGGGCCAGGTCTGGAGTGCTCAATTTCAGCTAAAGTTCTTCAGATTGTTCCAAATCCTTCAATATTAGGGTGAAACTTCCAGGGGATTCTTGAGACTCAAGAGAAGAAGTTTTTACAACTATGAGTGTATTTAGTGGCAGAGATGGTTGGTGACCAACCCCGTTGAGAAAACAAGGACAAGAAAAATTAACGTGGTGGGAGGGGAAAGGAACAGAACACACTGCTCTCACAAACTTCATCTGGGTCTACCAGTCCTATATCAGGCAATGCTTGATTTTAACAGCTTGGAAAGACAGACTTTTCCCCTCCCACATGATGCTCGGCCTCTGCTTCTTCCAAATGGCTCAGCATTCCTGATTGTATGTTAAAGTCTAAACTGCAAAAGACAATTAGATTTTTATTTGAAACTACAAAGTATTTTCATATTTCTAATGGCAGTATTTATCATCAAGACATCTAAATACTTACTTAAGTATTCATATGAATTCTGCTTTCTTGTTCAGAAAACCACCTTGGCCTGCCTTCTTGTCCTTGCTGTTAGCATGCCACTGTCCAATGCTTATTGCTTCGATCAGACATTGGAGCCAGGGATGTCTGACGGTAAGATCGTAGGCAAGAAGTCAACTGTCCTCTACTTGACAGACATCACAACAAACACCGCCTGATTTGATTTGTCCATTCCATGCAATTTATCACAGTTTAGAAAGAAGTAGAAACAGCGGAGAGAAGCCACTAGCAAAAGGGAAAAAACGGGGTATGGAGAGCAGGGAATTTATAATAGGTTATAAAAAAGAAGAGTTTATCTGATGAGCATCACACAGGCCAAATTACAAATTAGTTTTGTCCAGGGCAGTAGCATAGGCTTCATCCATCTGCATGAAGTAATAATTCATGTTTTCACTATGGCAGCATATTTAGAAATACAGAGAAGGGAGGGGAAGGGCCTTTCTATATGTGTGTGTGTATGTAGTCAGTATAAAGCAGGAAACATGTTGGCAAGTGTTCACCAATTTACTCCTTATTTGTTACCCTATCCCAGGGCAAGTTCTTTAGAACAGAATGGCTGTTCCCCCAAGTCTGGGATTGCTCTTTCTGAATACAGCTAGTCTATTGGTCTACAGATAAGTAGAGCTGCAGGAAAATAAGCACTCAAAAAAGAAACATGATTATTTGGACAGAAGAAGAGCTGATGTGTGCCAGTATGTAAAATGAACCTAAAGCCCCAAAATAGAGCTTTTCCTAGGAAAGTTAGTGCTACTACTAGAAAAAGGAGTTAGCATGGCCGGAGAAACAGAACATATTTATAGGCAAAGGCATAACCTAGAACTGGCAAATCCTCCACACTCTTGTCCTCATAAAATCCTGCTTTCTAGATCACTCACTTAGGAATTCTGTTCTGTGAGTCATGGACAGGAACTTTATATCCAATATGTACTTTCTTTCTGAAGAGGAGGATTAGGAAAAGTTTCCCAGGCAGATTTAGCCTTGCTTTAAATGAGGAGTCCACAACAGTTGCTGTTAATGAGGGGGAAGTCAAAGCCTTTTCTTAATTCTGACCAGGTCTGTGCCTAGTTGTCTTTCTACTGGGTGCTCCGATTCATGTACTGAAAGATGAGCTACTCCAGGAAACCTGATGCTGCTGAGAGCCACAATTAACAGAGGGACCCTGGATACCCTTCTCCATGTGTTAGAATAGTAGCAGTCCTGCTCTGCTGGGGAACTTCTGTGTTTGTAAAAAAGCCAAAGATTCCGCCCATTTCTGCACAAGCAATAGCATTGTTAGTGCAATAGGTCTGACACTGAAGGCTGCTTGCACACGACATTTTCAGGCTGCCGTGACTCGAAAGGAGAGCTGCATGAGTTTGGTTCCGACTGGAGGACTGACGAGTGCCATGATTGCTCCTGTTCCAGGAGCGGAATCAACTGCTGCTCCAGGTGAGTTCAAAACAGCAGTGGGGGTTTCCCTCCACTGCCGTGATACAGCACAAACCACTTTCTTTCACATAGGGGTCCCTGAGAAATGACCATTTCCCTTCTGTCACTCATTTCATATCACAAATTTATGCATTAACCCAACATCATCACTGAGCATGCAAGAAGTTCTGCTGACAAATATAGCTCGTGTTTAACAAATGATTCTTGATTAAAAAAAAAAGAAAAAAAAAAGAAAAAAGAAAAAAAAAAAGAGTGCTTAATTCTTCTTGGGGCTAAAATTTCAGGCAAGATACTCATTCAAGAGAGAATACATAGCTACTTCTGAAAATTCTATTGCTTCTAATCCAGATCTTCCCAAAGCCATACATTGCTCCTCTTTTCTCTGAGAAGCAGCTCAAGATATACTGGCCTGCCTGTAATTTTTCCTATAGTGACACCCAACCACTCATGTAATTCTTGTTCCATACTGTGGTTGAAGAAAAAAGTGATGATATTGGAGTAGCAAATAAATACAATAAACATCTTGTGTTGTAGATGACAACTTGGGTGTAAATCAGATCAGTAATCTACAACTGCTTAATCAGCAGGCTAAGTAACATTTGAGCTAGGAGTTTTGTGAGCTCCGTTTTCTGCTCCTGAACATCTCCTCAGTATAGCCTCTTCGTATTAAATGTGTAGATACCGTCTGGAACAGAAACTTTACTTCTTGGTCTCATCACCTCTTTGTCTTTTCCCAATGACAGCTTTGCAACACCATCTGGTTACGATGAAAAGAAGTGTGTAAGCATTTTCGACAAGGAGAACTGTACTTATAAAGTAGTGGAGAAAGATGATCACTCAAAAGAATGCCCAGTCCATATATGGGTGGGCTAACAGAGAAGGATGGTTGATTTGGGGGATATTTCTTTTATTGTTTTAAGGGTTCTTGCACGCAAATTCAAAAACATTGAAGAATGCAGCCATTGAGTGAAATCTACTCATAAAACATAACACGTAATAAAACTGAATATCTACTCACAGAAGACTCCCTTGGCTTCTCTGTCTTCTGCTTCCCCATGAAGAAAAAAAATGACTTGTTCCTTCCTTAAGATCAGAAATTGGAGCTGACATTTTTAAGCACCCTCAGTAGCTGCAAATTTTAATCCTCCTCTAGTCACACTTCAGTGTCAGGGAGTATATCTTGTTGTCTGTGCACAGCTGTATGTTAAAGCTAAAATAAAATCAGATAAAGCATCAGAAATTTTTGTGACATTTTCTTCTTTGAGGATGGAAGTCTAAAGAATTAACATTCCAAAGTGTCATGGAAATGAAATGCAGCTTAAAAATCTTTCTGAACACTGTCTTTTCTAGGATAGTGTCTTATATGATGATCTTTTATCCTGTATGGCTCCCTGGAGCCTGCCTAGCCTCTGGACTACAAGAGCCAACAGCTACCCGGTCTAACTCAGCACTATACTTCCATTTCACCCACACCACAGCAGACCCATCCCTCAACGTGGGGCTTGGGTAAAAGAAAAGATCTTTTATTCAGATTAACCCTTAAGCAATTAAAGTTATTAAATTGGCCAGTGGGCAGGATGGTGGCTGGATAGAGACTGATCTGGACTGGGCTCAAACAGAGAAGAAGCTATGTAAATCCACAAACAGTAGCTGAGAGGGATAAGCTTGCCAGTATAAGCTGTCCCTTAGGGCACTGCTTCATAATCTTTATAGGTACGTTTGTTCAGTTGCCTCTTTCCACAAGTGACTATCAGCATTCTATGTCTCCAGCGTTTCACAGCTTCCATAGCTCCTCATTTCAAATTATGGAATGAGGACACACCTTGTCAGCAGGGCTGTGTCCTGCTGTCTGCAGGGGCAAGGCAAACCTCAGCTTGTGTCAGCCTTGACCACATGCTCCAGTGAGCAACACAGGACCCTAGGAATTACACCCCAATGTTTTATTCCACCTCTGCTTCCCTTTCTCCTTCTCCAGAAAGGCAACTCTGTTGGTTACACTTTTTTTAATTGCCTGCTGTATGGCCTTTTGGAAGATGACCCGCAGTAATGTACTTTATACAACAGTTTACAAGCCAAAGTTGCTATACAACAGTTCACAAGCCAAAGTTGCTAATGTCATCATACATATAGACTAAAAGGTGTCACAAAGCACATAAGGCACTTACATCAAGAGCAGTAACAATTACATCTACTGGGAAAAAGGTAAGAAGGTTCTGCATGATTTAAGCTGCATCTGTCCCACTCTCTTTTCTTGGCTACCAAAAAATATGCAATGCTTGTTGAGGTCTTGTGCTCCACATCAGATAAGGCACAGGTGTCAACAGCCTGCCCAGGAGCACACGTAAGATTGGGTTGTAACTGAACCAATGTTCTTGTGAACCCCAGGAAGATGCTGTATGTAGAAGTTCAGAGCTTAACACCCAAAATATTAGTTTGAGAACAAGGGATACCTCTTCCCTCATTGTCTTTAGAAAGTGAGATTTTGATGAAGTACTTACCAGATCTAGCTTGATGATTTGTCCGTTACATCACCTGTTTATTTTGTAGTTTACCTCCAAACTCACCTCAAAATGACTGCTGAATTAGGCTTTTTCTAACATCTACCCATATCTGGAAGCCACTGGGACTGGCTTAAGGGGTATTTATGCAGACAATCAGTTATAGTGCAATGTGGAACAAGCTTTGTAACTAACTATTTGGGCACATGATTAGTTTCTGTCTTGATCAGGTATCCCTTAGTGATAAGGAACTATTTCATAGACCCAGTCAAAAATAAGATCCAGAGTTCATAACGCTATTCAGGAAGACTACAAGCCAGAGAATGCAAGGACTAAGAATACAACAGTATCCAAAAAGCAAGGTGCTCTGATGACATTTCTGAAGGTAGTGGTACAAATTTTCTCAGTATTTGCAAAGACATTCGAGGTTCAGTATGGAGACACCTGCTTCTGAAACCCTGAATTATTCATTTTCCATGGTATCATGACCTAAACTGAAAATGTTCATGAGTCTGGAACTGTGACCTGCATTTGACTGAATCTGAGCTTTGCTTTTATGGTCTCTGTATACAAGAGATCAAGTACCACTCAGCCTTCCAAAAGACAAGCTAATTTTTCTCCTTCCTGCCATCTTCCTCCACTCCTCAGTTAATTCCTTTTCTGCATCACTGAAGACTGCTAATCTCTTTTTCTCCAGCTGTTCTGAGGGCACCAGTCTTTTCCATTCTGCTACAGATCATGATCTGATCTCTGAAACAGAATGAAATCCAGCGAAATCCATTTACCTCTGAACTTCTTGCTGTGTGCTTAAGTTTGCCAGTTTGATTACTCTCAGAGTAGAAGCAAATGAGGAATCCCATTATGTACTGTTAGAATATTGTCCAAAGGTTGAGAGCATTACAGCTCCTGAGTTATTTCAGCCGGACTCTACCCAAGCATCAAGGCCATGAAAGAAAGATTAAAAAGCAGGCCACTGTTCTGTCTCACATCTTACATGTGCCATCCATATACATACAGGATTCATTTTCAGACACGAACTTGAAACCTGTTTACAGCAGGTAGAACATTCAGATTCACAGCCTGTCCCAATAACCAGCAAAGAAGAGCAAAATACTGCGTCCAGCTCTGGGGTCCCGAAGCATAGGAAGGACATGGATGTGTTGGAGCGGGTCCAGAGGAGGACCACAAAGATGATCAGAGGGCTGGAGCACCTCTCCTATGAGGACAGGCTGAGGCAGTTGGGGCTGTTCAGCCTGGGGAAGAGAAGGCTCTAGGGTGACCTTAGAGCAGCCTTCCAGTACCTGAAGGCGGCCTACAGGAAGGATGGAGAGGGACTTTTCACAAGGGTATGTAGTGATAGGACAAGGGTGAATGGCTGTAAACTAAAAGAGGGCAGATTTAGATTAGATATTAGGAAGAAATTCTTCACCGTGAGAGTGGTGAAACACAGGAACAGGTTGCCCAGAGAAGCTGTGGATGCCCCCTCCCTGGCAGTGTTCAAGGCCAGGTTGGATGGAGCTCTGAGCAACCTGATCTTGTGGAAGATGTCCCTGCTCATGGCAGGGGGGGTTGGAACTAGATGATCTTTAAGGTCCTTTCCAACCCTTACCATTCTATGATTCTATGAAATAATTTGCCTGCCAAGATGAGATGGCATTTGTGATGCCATCCTGATAGCAGAATGGAGTGTGGACAGGTAATATTGAAGCTTGCGTAATAGTCTTCAGCCTTTTTTATGCAGCATAAAGGAGAGATTTTTCTCTGTGTTACGGCCATCCTGGCAGCAGATGCAGTTTGAGCCCCACTCAGAGGAGCCTGTCTTCTTACTATTATTGCAGTAATAAGCTGCCTTTACATCAGACTCAAGCTCCCTAATTTGTTTAATCCAGTGCACGTGCTGGCTGTTTCCTACTGCCCTCTAGCAACTGCCTTCCTCATTCTAGCTCTAAAGTTTTCCTTCCTGGTGTTCTAGTCCAACCCATTGTTCTAGCTGGGCAGCCCCAACCCCTTCAGCACCTGCCAAGGGTGCTGAAGTTGGGATACAACGATTTTGGAACTGCACCCACATACTTGCATGTACAATCACAATTCACCTACCACAAAGCACATGTGTTTCTTGGGTAAATTGACTGACAGCATGACTGCAAGCAGAAATACTAGCTTACCTCTTCTCTTTCTGCTTCCCACTGTCACATGCTTCGAAAGCTCAAGACTTACCATTCACAAAACAATCTATCCACACTCAGTGACATTGCTTGGGAGACACTGTTCTCATTAACAGCTGAGGCATGAGCTTGTTTACGTCCCTTTGCAAGCCTATGCAAAAAGAAAGCATGTTTGAAGGCATCTTCTAACAACAACATGTGTAACAGACTCCAACACTTCCGGGTTGAGGCTAGAGGACTTGAAAATACTTTCTGAGCTGCTCCACCATGGTGCCCGGGAATTCTAGGGTTGCTATTTCTAGTTTCCACCAAAGGAGGTGACACAGGAAGGGTAGCAGCATGGATGGAGAGAGACTTTTTACCAAGGCCTGTAGTAAGAGGACAAGGGGTAAAGTTTTTAAACTATATGAGGTACATTCAGGTTAGATACAAGGAAGAAATTCTTTACTATGAGGGTGATGAGTCACTGGAACAGGTTGCCCAGAGAAATTGTGGATGCCCCTTCACTGAAAGTGTTCAAAGTCAGATTGAACAGAGCTTTGAGCAACCTGATCTGGTGTAAGATCTACTTGTTCATGGTGGGGGGGAGGGGAGGAGTGCAGGTCTACATGATCCAGACCTGTTTAACCACATGTCACGAATTAAAGCAGGGTGTCAATAAACCGAGTGACAGATGCTATTAACCCCCACCCCCCCACCAGAGGAAAGGAAAAGGAGGAAAAGGTAGAGAGACTTAAATTGAATATTAAAAGTTTTACTACTAATAATAATAATATCTATAATAAAAGAAATAATGTAAAATATACAAAACCAGTACTGAGTTTCCTGGAGTTGGGTGCTGGCATCCTGTCAGCAGCTGCCAGGCAGCACCAGGCAGTCCCAGACTGGCGTTGGCAGTAGACAGGGACTGGACTCACGAATGCATGGATTGGAATCTGAATCAGGATTGCAGGTAGAACAATGAGCAGGGTCTTCTTTAGCAGGCGGCCATGGACAAAGAGAGCTAGACCCTCGTGATCCCCCAGCTTCAAACTGAGTATGACACGCGTGGCATGGAATACCTCATTGGTCAATATCGGGTCCCCTGTCCTGTCAGCCCCTCCCCGCAAGTACAACCCCTTCCGACTCCTCACTTGCGGGACCTAATAGGTCTATCAGTCTATCGGTCAAGGTCTGTTGGTGACCTTAGCTGCGATAGTGGTAATTATAAACAGGGGCCGTTTTCTACATTCCTTTCCTTCCGTTAGCTCAGTGTAACTAAAAACATTAGGGGTAACCAGCTTTGGAGCGGACAGTGTCTGTAAAATACGCAGCCAGCTTCAGAAAAATGCAGTTACTTAAAAGAACTTAGCTGTAAGGAAGGTTCACTAAAAGAAAATCAGTTCTCTTTTAACCAAAACCAGGACACCACGTTTTAAATCCCCCCAAGCATCTTTCTCCACCATCTGCCCAGTCTTGTTATGATTATGTGGATCTACCCTGTCTGCTGTGCAGAGGTATAGGAGAGATTCATTTCGTGTCTAATCCAAAAAGGCTCCAAGGAGCAGTCTGCTCTCCTTGTCTGCTCCAAGTTGCAACAAGGAATCAGATGATGTTACCTATTGCATCTAGTTTAGGAACACGAGAAGCACAGCAGGGACTTGGCTCCCTTCTGAAGCAAGGAGTATAGCTGTAGGAAGATGACAAAACCCTCTAAATCGAGAAAGCAGAGACAGAGCATACAAAGCTCTGCTTTACTCTTCAGACTTCTCCCAAGTGATATTCGATACTACTTCAGTATATACAGCTACAGTCCTATACAAAGAATACATCCCCCCATGCTCAAAGCCTTGGATCATAACACCACTAGCTCCACATAGTGGAAAAGAAACATTCACAGGAGAGTTTCCTCGATTATCCTCACATGTGAAAGGTTTAAAAGACTCTGGAGAACCTTGGGAGGCAACACAGCCCAGGCAGAGCAGAAGCGGTTATGTGCTCTCTCCCCGCATTACCCACTCTCCACCTGGTGGCACACAGTTCTCCTGCTAGCCCTGCTAGAAAGAGGCAGTTTCTGACAGCATGCCCTCTACTCCCAGTAATTATTTTCAAGGCAAGTCTTTCGAGTACTGGAAAGATGTTCGTGCCCTAAAAATGAAGTCTAGTGCTTAGCCTAACAACTACCAAGTCTTTTAAACCAAACACCAGAAAACACATAAATCTGGTGGAAGTTTTCATATTAAACAGCATTTATCCCCTAAAACTTAATGGGTTTTTTTTTACCCATTCATGTCTTGTTTCCATTAAGATTTGTGCCCCAGTCTTAAAAATAAAACACAGGTTAAACAATCATAAACAAGGAAAGTGCATACCTTGTTTACATTATTCATACCAAAGGAGCTAGAGATTTGCAATTCACATTCTTCTCTGAGCCAATTTTAAAAATGTAGGTAAGTTCCGTTCATGGCAATTTCGGTTGTTCACTTTGCTCTTAGTTACCCCTTCTTGTTGCTGTGCAGGAAAGTTTGCATTGGCACCTTTTGAAAGCCTGAACGTTTCTGCTCAAATCTATCATTGTGTGCATGTTTCTCTGGCCCAAGCTGTGATTTGTTTTAGGGCAAACTGATTGGCTTTATTACAGGTATTTACATGAAACTCCAGAACACACAAGTCATATGGCCAATCTAAAACACTCAGCGATACTGGGTTACTTTAACACTGTTCCTCACCCCCCAAAATTCTGTTTTCACATTTCATTTCTTTCAGTGTGTAAGTCTCAGCCACTGACCCATGCTTTTTGCACTCCTCCAGGGTTTCAGTGTTTTTGCATAGTCAGTGTTTCAAGTAGCTCTCCACTAAGAAGCACTGATAAACTGAAGTCCTGTGTCACCACAAGATGGTAACCTCCTTCAAAATATCCCAGTATTTTCTCCACAGTATTTCCAGAGGCTTCTCCCATTGCTGCCTTGGCCTGCCAAGTATGGGGCAAATCTACAGAGACAAAAATAAGTAGTTTTGTTTAACAGCTAACTATAACAGCTAAGAGACTGTGTAAGATTTCATTCCCTAAACTGTATAATGCAGAAGTCACTCCAGTCCACTGTATGAAAGAGAGTAGCTGGACTGGGCTGAAATACCAGCTTGGGACTGTGTAGCTTCCCTAATGTGCTACTCTGAGCAGAGTTAGAGTTTCACTAGAGTACAATAGGTCACCAAGGGACTTGCCTCCCCTTTTCAGTTCCTAGTTTGGGACTTGCTTGATCTCTCCTAACAGTGCTATCCCTTCACCTCCCCGTGTCCTGTGTGTGGAGGAAGCTTTCCAGGGGCTGCAAGACTTTATTGTATTGGGGTACTCTCCTGCTCTTGCCCTGCTTGTGAACATGGGATGCTGTCCTGCACACAGAAGACGATGGCCAAGGAGAGCTGAGCCAGGGTCTGGCTTGGTGCAGTATTCATTCAAAATTCTTTAGACTCCTGAAGTTATAGACTAGATTATTCAACAAAGTCTTTTTTTCTAGATCAGCTGTTTGTTCTTATTTGTAGTGTTTGGCTGTATAAGGCAGGCTATTGAACAAGTTCATTCAGAGCATAGAACATTGTCCTCTAACATTAAACAGCAAATTATACAAAGAAGTTAGATAAGAGATCAACTCTGCAACATTATTATGAATCCTGTCAGAGGCATTTGTAAGCATAACACCCAGAATTTCAGCATCTGTTTTGGCTACATGGCTGACCTCAGGCCTATTTTTTTAGGATATGTTTACTGTTAAACAGCCAATACCCCTCATTGACATTTCCTTTCACTTTCTTCCAAGTATCTCTTTCAAATTGGAGACCCTTTCATCTCTCCTCAGTAAGAAGAGGTTCGAAAATTAGAACGACCAAAATTCTCAGAAATGTAGAGTGGTATGCTAGTACTCTGTGCTTCATGCCAGTCAAGAATTTCAGAGATCACCCAAGTTTTTCAGCAAGCCCAGGGGGAAGTACCAGGAGCTTGATCAAGCAGATTGCCGTAAATACAGCCCAGCTACACTAGTACAGCTTAATTATGTACAGATATGACAGCTGTGGAACTTTCTTTTTCTGTTGTTGCTGAGGTTTGTTTGGTTTAATCTCTTTTCCTCTTATTGTTCTTTTTTCTTATAATTTTACTAGTCGCTAGATGGCATCTTAGTTCTGTCACATTGCTCCTGTGCTGGAAGGAGCAGATGGACAAATCAGAGCTACAGAGAACACAAAAACACAAGTCCTGATTCAGATGGCAGACTTGAGCTCTATTTCTGTTTGCTCCAGTAAGGTTTGAGAATGTAAGTGGCATTTTAGAAGTGGTTTTAGTCTATATGCAAGGAAGCTGTGTGGACAAAACTGAGTAGTTTTAAGAGTGTTTTTTGAACTATGACATAGACTGGACTGCCTGAATTACCCTGGATACAGAAGGAAAACGTAGCAATAACACTACTTCAGTTTCATTCAGGGACCAGATGCATTAGCATCTCTGATTGTTAACAGAGAAAGAACAGCAGTGCAAGTTGAGTCAGATGTGACGGCTTGTGAAAACATCATTAGAAATAAAAGGGAAAGTCTAATATTAATTCTGAAATAGGTTGGTTCATAGAAAAAAAAAATAGTGCTGGAGTCAATTCTGTTTGGAATGAGAAGTGACTTCATAACCTTTCTTAGTAGTAGAAGCATTGATAGGACCAGTCTCATGTTCGAAAGCTTGCAGTGATCAACTTCTTTCTTACAGAACTCTCAAACGGCAGTTTTATTATATCAGTTTCTGGCTATATTGCCCTTTTTCCACTGTGTTTTTCTTGCCTTTCAAGAATGGAGTAGGCAGATGCCAGAAAATAAATTCTTAATCCTCTAAAGATAATTCTTTGCCCAGCTGATACATGTTTTCAACAGTCCATGCCAGTAACCATACTTAATGTCAGCTTTAGAAACTCATTGATGTGCTTTGTATTAGTACAGTGTCCCTTAACTTTGAAGGTAATAAGGTCCATTTGCTAACTTTAGCTCTGGTCAGGTCTTAAGGTTATAGTCTTCCTAAAGATTTTTGCTACAGGCAGGACTAAATGTTCCTTCTTTGTCTCCCAGATTTTCCAGCTGAACCTCTCAGAAATGCTACTGTGAAGCTGAAGACAGAAACAAATGCTTGCATACCAGGTTAGTTGGTGCAACACTTCTTCCCCCCAAAAAAAGCCCAGCAGCCATGGGCATTGGCTGGAAGAAGCACAAATGGCAGAACATGCTATTTACAATTCAGGACATGCGCACGTAGCCAGCTGCTGCCACCCTTCTCCACTACTCTGGGAGAAGGATCCCATGAAACAGTTCTGTTGGCTGCCTGATCACTACAGCACACTGACATCACGGTATTCAGTCGCAATGCTTTGTTGGTCAGACAGACATTTAGAAGGGTGTGGATGTGCACAGCACCACCAGACAGACAAGACCAGCGCCCTGTCTGCAGGAGGCAAAAGACGAGATGCTGGTTTTAACACAAGGCTTGCTCACTAAAGCTGCTACCAGACTCCTGTGACCTCATAACATCAGGGAGTTATAGGGTGCTTGAGAAGAGGTCAATACACAACAGTTCAAAGGTACCATTGCCAGGACTGAATAAAGCCAAACCCACTATGGCAGGAAAATGAGGACAGCAACTTCAGCTGCTTAAGTCGCAGTCTGGCAAAGTCCTATGATCACCACCCAGCAGCTGGTCGTGTTTGTAGAGCTGCTGCTCCTCTGGTGGCCTCTTCAGTATTCTCTCCACCACCTCTTCCAACTCATGCACAGTTGTTGTCTCTTCGGCCTCAGTGAAGACAGTTGTCTTGTGACAGCAAATCATCAAGTAGACATCCATCACTACCCTAGGGCTTCCTGCAGTTCTCTATCACTGGGAAACAGATTTCAGTCCTTTTAGTGAGAAACCTGTATTTTCAGAAATTAGCTGAAGTCAAGACAGAACTGGCATTAGATGAATGGATCCAATGGGGACAAAGAGGGGAAAAAACCTACAGGGAGCTGCTCTGCTAGACAGACCAAGATCCTCATGCTCTACACAAGCAGAGCTATTAAGTACTTAATGACTTTTGTGTTTCTAGCTAGATATCATCTAGCAGAGATATTTTTAGCACTGTTAATGAGCATTTGTATTACTTTAGCTTCTTGCCTGGAAGGGTTTCATCCTCAGTTTTCTTTGGGCCGTGTGCATCTGCCTGAGATCCCAGGAGAAGACAAGCTTGTAGCTCTGACTGCACCAGCACAGAAGAAAGCAGCATACAAAATGGTTTGGCTTTGTTTGTTTCTAGTCAGGCAAGGGATAAGGACTTCCTTGGCTCCCTCACATGTTTAGTAAAGACAGAAATTTTGATAAATACAGAAGTCTTCAGAGTTGTCAAACTAATGGACAGTGTTAAGGTATTTTAGTACCCTACTGCAGTTCCAGGAAGCTAGTTGTCAAAATAACTCATTGCCTAGCATCAATGCTGATAGAGACTCAGCTTAGGAGTAGCTCTTCTCTCTCAGAGTTTGGCTAGGGCGGAAGAGACTTACACAGGAACAGAGCAAGAGGGGAAATAAGGGCTGGTAAAATTAGAGTAAAAAGGAGATCTTCAAAGGCCAGCCATTTTAGGAGTACTTTATGATTGTGCCAGTGTAGTTGCTTGTCACATGCAGAGCAAGTCACGGCCATGAGGCTAAAGGCTCACTTCAGCTCCAAAATGCTCCAGATAGTCAAGGACATCTTCCCAGAGCTGCCATTACTAGTTCCCACAGAGAAGTTCAGCGCCAGCATGGGACTGGCTCCATCTGCACTCACAGGCACCAAGCCTTACTCCCAGCCCTCCAGAAGAATAGCTGCGCTTCAGGGATCTGGGCTGCTCTTGTCTTTGGGATGAGAGGGGTAAGGTCCAGGGGCTCATGAGCAGTCACTGTTCCTCCCATCCCCCAGCTGAAATCCCCTCAAGAAGTGAGACAAGACACTCCTCTGGATGAAGACAAGCAGTGGCAGCAGCCAGCTACCTGCAGGCCTGCACTGTTGAAAGAAATCAGAGTTCTCACCCACCAGGTCAGGAAGGGGAGGGGGGTTGGGGACAAATTAATCTTGTTTTTCTCTGCTATCGGCACTTTGATATCCCTGGCACATGCAACCTTTCCATAGCAAACCTAGGATAGTGTTAATCACTTCTATGGTTGTTCAAGCTAGATTACACCAAAGATAGTAACAGATACAAAAATTCTGTTCTTCCAGTATTTTTTTTCCTGTCAAACAGGAAGACAGACACTGCTCTTCCAGCCTGTAAGAGCCCAGTACGTCCATCCCTGAGCAGTGACCCAGGGGCACTGTCATCCAAGTATGGCCATTAAGTATCTCTTCACGTCATGCCAGCTCAGAGATGCGTGTGTCTGTTCCAGCTGAGGTTCCCTGTGCTTTGCAGGGCATTCTCCAGGAGAGCGGAATAAAAGAGATATGTCGTGAGTGCAGCATAGCCAACAAAATAGGGAGCTGCTCTGGACTCGCACTCAGGATTTATGCAAAGGAAAATCCCTGCTGAAAGCAAGTGGGACCTTGGGATCTAACTAAGTTTGTGGACTAAGACCAAAAGTACACCCTCTGCAAACCTAGTACAGAAGGAAGGAAAAAACAACATTTACCTCTCTTTAAGGTAGTTGAGGTGTTGTTCAGCAAAATGACGTAACATAAAGGCAGTGCCATTTCAAGGAAAATGTCCAGTATTCTGGACAAGCAGCAGTTAGAAAACACAAGTTTTGCTTCAAAGAGAGAATGTTCAGAAACACAACCAAGTTGGACAAAGGGGAGCATGCACATAGGATAAACCACTTGAAATAGTTCAAGTTTAAAATAAACAAAGCCCACACACGTACAGAAGACCCAACTGCTATCTGTCCCAGACCAACAAAGGTGTGAACTGATGGGGAAAGAAGGGTGATTTAGTAGAGAAATGTCTTTTTAAAACTTCCATTAGGGAGAGGATGTGGGCAGGGTGTATTTGTATAAGCTAAAAGCATAAGGAATTCAAGCTTGAATCCTTCCTGCAGAGGGAAGGCAGTACCATCCACCACAAGTGGTGGCCACATTGATGCTGCTGCACCCCTGATAAGTAGCAAACTATATTCTCACTGACAGGGGCCAGGTCACACAGGTGGTGCTTTTAGGGAAAATATCAAATTTCATGAAGTCTATTTGATTTACCAAGAGTTGCCCACACATTAGGTAGGGTCCTACCTAATTGCTCACTCTCATGAGTTCAGCTAAAAACGGAGGCAATCAGTTGTCAAAGGCAGAAGAAACATCAGTTTCTCTTACTAGCTTCTCTGAAAAAGATTGACAGGAACTGTTTTGAAGTCAGGTCAGATTTATTCACGTGTTTCAATCCAATTTTGAAGCCCACTGTAGTGTTTAGTAATTAAGCAGTGCTTTGATGTAGTCTTGAATCAGGAAACACAAGGTAAAGCAACAGACATCCAGCAAATCATGTCTAAAGCCACTCAAGGCTACTGAAGAAGTGTTTTCAATGTGAGCAAGTTTTAATCAAATTATGGAATTGATACCCTAGTCAGACCCTTGGTAATCAGAAGCCACCATCCAAGCACCCCTCTGGTTCAAGGGAGGTCTGTAGCCCAAACCCTCCAACTCCAGGCATCTCCTCAGATTACTCAGAGTCCTTCTAATTGGCAAAAGCTTCCTAGGGCAGAATTGCCTCCTTGGCTTGGCACAGAGTCACTATTTTAGACAAGTGGCTACATTATTTGACCAGTTTAGTTTGGCAGCTTCCCTGACAGACACAGGAGCTATACAAACAGGGAAAGGCAGTGCTGGATGTTCCTCTCATCGCTTCATGGACCTCAGGCTGAGGAGACCCATACTTTAACAGCTGCCATACCTCTACAGCCAGTGAGTAAGCTGTTTGGCTTAAGTCAGTATGTCTGGAGCTGGGCTGCAAGTCATTCCAGCTCAACAGACCCAAAGCAAGAAGGCACAGAGGGAAGGTAGCAAGCTTCCATAGTCTCCACATCTCAGATGTACTCAGCTTTCTCACCCTTCACAGCCACAAGCTAGGCAAGAAAGGCCAGGACAATTTAACCTTACCTTAACTGAGGAACCTCCAGAGGACACTTGCTTAACACTGTAGCCCCGGAAGGTAACTTCATTTACATCTGCACAACAAAGGATCCTCTCTGTTCCTTTGTTACCCATTTGACCTGGAAAACCTTGTTTGTCTGAAGAGCAAAGGTCCAAGCAGGTCAGC